CCTGTATGAGCCACAGGTTTGTCCCTGTGTGTGAAGGAGCTCGGTCAAACCTCTGCTCGTCTCCTCTCAGGCATCGTCACGGTAACACAGAAGCCCCTCAGTCCATTACTGTGGTAACCACATTGTATTTTTAGAACTGAGAGGATGTGGACACATGGCATCATGTGGCCCAGTAGCTGGATCCTTTCAGCTCCTCCTCCTGCCTCAGCTGGACTGAACTGGTCTACCCCCAGTGCACCAGTGCATGCCTGCCGGTTCCTCACTGTCATGATTACTTCATGGACATTAGTGAAGTGCAGGATGTTACAGGGTCTCTTCACTTACTGTTCACCCACAAACGGGGGAATCTGGGTTCTGGTCCAGAAGTTAGAAAACCAGTTCAATACCAGATTTATTACCAAAAATCCAGCCACACTGTATCATGTGACTCATTTCACATGTTTAGATGGGGACAGCAGTTTTAGGAAGAATGATCCAATACTGTGGTTTTGCAGTGTGTTTTACCTGCCTCTGACCAACATCATTTCCCATGAGCCCCAGATGTTTGCAGGTGAAACATAAATGCTCGCCAGCAGAGGCAAGGCCATGATGGATGTCAGACTGGTCTGTGACAACATCAGGACAGAGAGAACTCTGTGGACCTTTTCAGGGGCACTGACAGTTGGTGAGATGCATAGACTTTATGTTATTTAGCCTCATTGATAAAAAGGAGGTGGACAAAACACCAGAACCAGGTCTCGTTGTAACCCATTCCAGCTAAACAGCAGCACAAACTGCCACCTCCACCATGACCTGACAATCTGTGACACAGTGTGAACACCATCACTGTGAGGAAGGAGGATTTACTGCAGGACTGTTGGATCAGCCTGACTGAGTTTAAGACAGGGGTTCCTAATAAACCGACAGGCTAATGACACAGTAATGAGAACAGCAGCATGTGAAGCTCCACTACAACAACACTGTTGGTCACGTCCTCTCAGCCCGTGCCCCTCCCAGCCGCACTGCAGCCAGCCCACTCCTTCCTGCCTGCTTGCCCACCTGGCGCTGCCTGCTCATCCAGGGAGCTGGCTTTTCTTTTTGGTCTGTTCTGACCTGTTTCTGCATGTTTGTGGGTTTGGCCTGCTCCTGCTGTCATGCAGCCTGCTCGCTGCCACGCCCTGTGCACCCCGCTCCCCAAGGTCTCTCTGCTCAGGTGAGCTTTCTGAACCCCGCTCTGTCTGAGCCCCGGCAGACTGAGGACTCTAAAAGGGTTGATGTTTGACAGTGCTCCTGATGAGGTTCTGGGGTCTTTTGTCTCCAGGAGCCCAAGAAGTACTACTGATATTTATACATTAAGCACAGTTTGATAATTGTGCTCTTGTGCTTTAAGAGGTTTTTCAGTGCATGGGTTTTACCTGTAATAGTGTATTACTACACGCAGTACTGCTTCCAACTTCCCAGCTGGGAGCCAGTGAAGCACTTCTGATATTCACTATCAGTTATGTTGTGTTTTTAATCTTTAGAGACCAGCTGAGATTCTCTGGAAAAACACCCAGGCCCTCCAGGCTCTCCAGGCTCTCCAGGCTCTCCAGGTTCTCCAGGCTCTCCAGGCTCTCCAAGACCTCTTAGGTACAGACTCGGGTTCTCCAGGACCATGTCTTCGTCCCACAGCAGGCCTGAACTCAGACCCTCTGGACTCAAGCGGCTGTGCTTGTGGCTCCATCGCTGCTCCTCTCCCTCTCCTCCCTCCTCTCCTCTTCCTCTCCCCGCCAGCTGTGGCATCGCCCCCTCTGGCACGGCATCTCGGTGGCTCCCCCTGCTGGTGGTCCTGCTGCTCTGCGCCCTGCTACTGATGGTGCTGCTGCTGCTGTGGAACTACCACTGTCTGTTCATCTCCCGTATCTGCTCCTCGCCTGGGGGGCAGGAGGAGGACGATGGGGGCCACGTGGTGACCCTGTGGAGCGGGCGGTGACGGCGGCGCTCACCTGGAGGCCGCCTGATCTGGTCTGAACGGATCCAGTCCTGCAGCTGTCTGTGGCTCTGCTTGTGAGAACATTCTGCACCATGATCTACAGGCTGCTTCTGAAACACAGAATATTTACTGAAGTACTTCACTCAAGTTTATTTGGCTATTTCTATGTCATGGTACTTCTACTCAACAGCAGTTCAGAGGGAGATATTATACTTTTTACTGCAGTACATTTATCTGGCAGCCGTCACTCTGCTGATTCAGGTATTCACCATGAGCACAGCGGTACGTTCTTATATAGCAGCAGACATTTCAATACCTAAAGTCCATATAATAAAGTACATAAGAATCTTCAGGCTGGCTCCACCTCAGCCCTATGTAGTCATTAAATGTTGATTTTGTGTAAATGCTTCAGTAATAATTCAGTGATATACAGTACACTAATATAATACTAACTCTGCTTGTATCATGAGTACTTATACTTTAAGTACATTTCACTTATAATAGATTTGTACCTTTACTGAAGTAAAGTTTTCCATGCAGGACTTGTAACAAGTGTTTCACTCTGTGCTGCTGGTACTTTTACTGAAGTACAGTTTCCAAGTACTTCTTCCATCCCTGCCTTACTGAACAAGAACCAAGCTGTTTCGGTGTAAACTGATATTTTACAGCAACAGTGACATAAAAACTCCTGAGGACGGGTCAGTTTAATCTCACTCCAGTGATTCACGACAGCTGCTATGAGACCTGCTCAACCAGATCCAAAGTCCAACAACACTGGATCCTACAGTTCCCATAATGCAGTGGGATGGTGTGTTGTCCTGCTTGGTAAGGGCCACCCACACCTGCAGTTTGTGCGATGCCACCCATAGTCACGCCTCCTCCAGAGACAGTGTAAAAGTGGGTGGAATTTTCCTTTAAAGGCGTTGGGCTGCGCTGCTGCACCCGTTGAGCCTTCGTCTAAGTTTAACTCAGGCTGAACTGGTTTTATTCACGTGTCTGGGGAGGGAGTGAATTTAGCCTAAAAATGAAAGTGTCGTTATGTGTTTGGCACTTTTGTTCAGATACAGACGTCTGTATACGACAGTATTGCACAAAGTCCAGACTGTGACGACAAAAGGTGAGAATGTCCCAAAGTGCAGATATGGAATGTGACTACTTCATAGTAGTACATACTCTAGTACATGTTACTGCCTGCACAAAGGTACATGTTGTAAAGTCCCACTCACAAACATAATAAACACCTGGAGCTGGTGTCAGCCTGTAGAGGTACGGACCAGGTTCCCCTGGTTCAGACTCGCCTTAACACACAAAGGACAGAAAAACTCAGCAATTACTGTAGTGTGTGTCTGACATGTTGGAGGCCTCAGGGAGCAGGGCGGTGCTCAGACTGCAGGCTGGAGTGAAACACCAGCACCACAACCCCTCCATTACAGCTCTATTTCTGTCTGCCACCTCAGGATGTTCTGTACTGAGTGGTAGAGCTGTAGCAGTGACAGTGGATCTGATTCACTGCAAAAACAAACTGAGTGGGGAGACAGTGGAGGAGTTCGTCTAAAGGATTATGTTGTATGTTTTTGTGCGAGTCCACACCCTGGTTCAGCTTATCCTCAGGAAACATGGGAGGCGGTCTGTTTCCAGCATAGAGCGGAAAAATTAAAGAAATCTCTTGAAGAACCTTGAAGATTCCTAAAACCTGAACAGACCCTGCAGCTCCTCCAGTGAGCTCTAACACTTTGTGGAAAATTCTTTGTAGGAACCCCAAAACCCAAAGGCACCATTAAACCCCTCGAAGACCCTTGGAACCCAGTGAAAATGACCCTTTTTGAATGACCACTGAAAGGTTTTCAGGGCTTCTTAAGGTTTCCACAGGAACCCTGGAGTCCTTCTGTGGAGCCCCAGAACACGAGGACATCTGCAAACCTTGTGAGGGATTTGCAGAGCTCATTCAGACTGAAAAGAAAACCTCTGTTGACATGATCTCCAGGCCCTTAAAGGAACATCACAGACCCCCAGAACTCCTAGAGAACCTGTGGATATTCTAAATAGCCACTTCAGGAACCTAGCAAAATTCTTTGAGCTACCCTGGGACCCTCCAGACTCCCTGTCAGTCCTCTGTAGCACCTTCAAAGACCTCTGAAGAGGACTTCTTGGAGGACCCTGGGAGCCCTCCCAGACCTAGAAAACCCTGTCCCATCCTCATGATGAGTGTAGCAGCTGCCAGGTCCCAGGGAGATGAGAGTGGAGCCATCAAAGTCTACAACCCTGAGACCCTCTACCTGCTCTGACTGTTGAGACGCAACAAGACGGGAAATAAGGACGCTGTGCCTAAAAATAAAAGCCAAAAGTGAATGGTACCTAGGTTTACATGTCCCTACATCAGATATATTTACATCAAACGTAATCTTTGCAAAATAAAACTGACTTATCACATTAGAGCCCCATGACAGCAAATTCCCGGATGTTGCCAGTTGGACTATCAAAACACACGTTCAGGGTTTTATTTAGGAGGATGTGTCCGGATGCGTCTTGTTTTATTTTGATAGTCTTGATTCTTGTCTCGTACCTGTATGCAGTGGAGCAGCGCGAGCGGCTCCGCTGTTCGGACCCGGACTTTGACTTAAACCCGGTTTTGAGTATTAACCTTGGCTGGATTCGTTGTTCTTTAAGCTTTTCTCTTCTTTTTCCATTTTCCCGTGTTTTGGTCAGACGGTGAGTCTCGGTGTGAAACTCGCTGACTTTTGCGGATTGTTGCGGCTCTGTTTCCCCGCTTTTCGTCATCGGCCCGTGAAGATGCCGGCAATGAGAGGACTGGTCCTCCTGAGCCTCTGTCTTGCCCTCCACACATGCCGGGCCTTGCCCAGCAGGCTGCCCGACCTCAGAAGACCTCAGCTCGGACAGCCCTCGCTCACCGACCCGCTGCTGGACTACGACCTCTTGGATGAGGAGCGGGGAGGCAGCGGGGGGCGCAGCGGGAACGGCACCAGCTGTGTGCAGTG